TTCATATTCATAAAAGCCATTTCGGCCTTATTGAAATACTAGCTAAGTCGTATAGGGAGCATTTCTACTAAAGTAATATCAAGGGCATCCAATCAAGTCGGCCACACGATGCCCTCATGATTTACTGCTGCAACTCATCTGCTCATTCACCCTCAAGCAGAAACGGCTGGTCAGGAAGCTTCACTGTGCTGCAAACTTAAAAACAACACAAAACGTAGTAGACTTACCATCACCAACATCAAAGTCCTTGAAAGCCAGTTCTGACCCTGAATCATCCAGAAGGATTTCACCATTCAGTGTGAACATCATGGTGTGTTCATTCATGTCGACCATACACCCCACAACATCGCCTGCTTGCCAAGAGCGCCCATAGTGTTCGTTGCCCTGATGCCACCGCTGGGCCTATGGAGCACAGAAAAGTCCCTTGTCACGGACTAAGCCAAGAAAATAGCACCCACCCACCACTCTGCCATGACTTAACAGCAGCCCCTTCCATTAACACCACAGTATGAGAAGCTCCGGCTGGCTATCAGTCTACTACAATGTCCTAAGCAAAATGAAGCTGTCTGGGAATTCTAAATCTCTACCTAATATTAACATGGTATATTATTGAATCTTGAAAAAAAAATCCAATAGCTATTTCATGATTTTGTGAGTCGATTGTTTTAAAATCTAACCTCACATATTTTCTACTGAAAGACAAATGATATGCCTTCAGAATATACTATTTTTTCTGCTACAATGAATGTTTCCCAGAATATGGGTTGTTTTTCTCTACTCCCACAAATGCAAATAATTACAAGGTAGGGAATCAAGCTGGACAGCTGTCATCGAAAATGATAGTGTAATTTTCATCTATTTCAAAATAAAATGTTATTCCTTAGAACCGATGGCACAGATATTTTAACAAAATGGAAATCTAGAAGCATTTCAGTTACATACTATAAGTAAAAAAAGCTTCAAATCAAACCTAAAAATATCCTTAGGATATCTGCTGAAGGAACAAGCCAAAAAGTGAATATAGATGCCAACCTTTTTTTATATATACATAAAGTGAAATCTCATACTGTAGGTACATTCGAAACACAGTTTTGATAAATGTGATTTTTTGGATCTACAAGTATATCCCATTGCTTTATAGGGACACGTGAGTTATATAAATTATTTTGTCAGGTACATCTTTTAACTTTTTGCTTAAGCCTCACCTTCATTGTGAATTGGCACGTTATATATGTTATAGGACATAGTTATCAATATAAAACAATGATGTAATTCTCAATATAACACACTGTGCTTTTTAAAAAGTTTACATCAGGAATCCAAAGGCATAACATGCCTGACACACTTACCTGGCTGTAGTGTTCTCCCTCCTACCCCACCCACCCCACGCCCGTTCCCAAACTGGGAATATCCTTTCTTTCTTGCCTATTGTTTGATTGGAAGTAAATGTTATTTTAACTTCCTCAGAATGCTTCCTACTCTGGTTCATTCCATCTGATCTTCAGGAAGTATAAACCTACAGCTGCCTTTTATCTATTATTTTATTTTTTGAAGTTTAAAGTTTGCTAACTTTGAGCCCCCCCCCAAAAGGTGTTAAAATTTTCTATTTGAAATTAAAAAAAAAAAAAAAAACTGGATTCGGGAAATGTGATGTTTCAGACCTAAGTGGATAAAGTGCCCTAATTTCAAGCCTAGAAATGCTTTCCTACACAGTGCCTCACATACCAAGAAATAACCAAATGTCAAATCTCTTCATGATTGCTTATTTATTCTAATTTAATTTTTCCTAGTTAAAAAGTAGCTTTTTTGGCCAGGCACGGTGGCTCAAGCCTGTAATCCTGTCACTTTGGGAGGCTGAGGTGGGCAGATCACGAGGTCAAAAGATCAAGACCATCTTGGCCAACATGGTAAAACTCCATCTTTACTAAAAATACAAAAATTAGCTAGGTATGGTGGTGCATGCCTATAGTCTCAGCTACTTGGGAGGCTGAGGCAGGAGAATCACTTGAACCTGGGAGTTGGAGGTTGCAGTGAGTTGAGATTGTGCTACTGCACTCCAGTCTGGCAACAGAGCGAGACTCCGTCCCAAAAAATAAAAAGAAAAAGACAAAGAAAAAAGTAGCTTTTTCCCCCTCAAGTGACAAGGTATATAAATTCACTTAAAAAAATCAAAAAAATAAAATAAGACTTAAAAAAAACGATGACTGTACCAATCAAAAGTGACTATTATTATCCTATTGTGGCTATATGCGTATATACATTGTTGTTACTATTATTTGTTCGTTCATTTGTTTTGAGACAGAGTCTCGCTCTGCTGCCCGGGTTGGAATGCAGCGGTGTCATCATGGCTCACTGCACCCTCAACCTCCCAAGCTCAAGCAATCCTCTTACCTCAGCCTCCTAAATAGCTGGGACCACAAGTGTGCACCACCATGCCTGGCTAATTAAAAAATTTGTTTTGTAGAGACGGGGTCTTACTTTGTTGCCCGCTGGGCTTGCACTCCTAGGCTCACGTGATCCCTCTGCCTCAGCCTCCTGAAGTGTTGGGATTACAGGCACCTGGCCCATACTATTAATCAAAATATTTTACACATATAAAACAATCTTTAGCCGGGCGCAGGAGGTCACACTTGTAATCCCAGAACTTTGGGAGGTTGAGGCGGGCAGATCACTATCACTTGAGGTCGGGAGTTCAAGACCAGCTCAACTAGCATGGAGGAAACCCCATTTCTACTGAAAATACAAAATTAGCCTGCTGTGGTGGTGCATGCCTATAGTCTCAGCTACTCAGGAGGTTGAGGCAGGAGAATCACTTGAACCTGGGAGGTGGAGGTTGCAGTGAGCTGAGGTCACGCCATTGTACTCCAGCCTGGGCAACAAAAGTGAAATTACATCTCAAAAAAAAAAATCTTTAAACACTTATAAATACATAAATAACAAAACAAACGCCTGACCAGCTTCCACCCAACTTGATAGAAATTACTAATAATGTTGAAAATGAAAACCATTTGTGATTATAAACAACCCTGCCTTCAACACTGTGGCTATTAAACATTTATACAAACATACCATTAATTATTGCTTAAACTCCTGATATGGAATTGCCGTATCAATGTATACGCATTTTTCCTTTATATATGTTATCTTTAACATTCCGACAGATGAAGATGATTTATCTTTTTGATAACCATGGAAAAGCAATGTCTTACTTGATGAATTTCACTGTCTTCATGGGTTGTAGGGAAGAGTTTTGAGGCTACAAGCACAAACACTTTCCCGTGAAATATTTTTCCATGTTTATGCTGTGGAAAATACTGGTATTGTGATGCTACCCAGAGGAACAGCAGAGGAGGCGAGCCTCCAGCACGTACAGTACATGACTGGTTCAGGGCAAAGTCACTCACCTTGAAGCCATCAAAGGCAAAGGCACGTTCATCCGAGCCAAGCTCTTGATCCGGTTGACAACCGGGCCTACTCCAACCAACCCTCATGTCTCCAGCAGTGACCGCCTCAAATTCAAAATACCACCGTCCCACCTTCACTGCGTAGGTCTTCTCGGCTCGGAAGATTCGGAATCTTTCCCCGGTGCCGCTGCACACTTCGGCTCTGGCTGCTGAGAAACGGACAGAGATTTCTGGTGGTCATTGGATGGGAAATTGAAAGAGAAAGAAAGATATCACAAATAAAAGAAGGAAAGACACATCATGACTTCAGCAATTCAACCTGCAACGATGATGATAATGATACCCGCTTTTCTTCTTTCACATTTTACCAAGTGCTTTCTTATCTAGGATCAGCCACTGGCAGACCAGCTGGGTGAAGTGGAAGGCGACAGGGCTTGTGCTGAAGAGCCTGGAGAACGAACCTCAGTAACGCCACCGGGGGGGGTGGCATTCCCTCCATCAGCCTGATTTTCAGGACAGAACAACTTTTCTGTAGAAGAAAACCCAAAAATGGCTTGGTGCTTTGGTTGTGGAGGACGAGATGGAAAGAAGACAGTAAGATAAAAGATCCAAACTGCTCCCGATAAGAAATGAGTAGACATTTAGGGGTGAGAGAGAAGAGGGAAGACAAAGCAAGGAATGGAAAAGAGACAGAAATAAGAGAAACCTATCAACAGTGGAGAAACGAAACAACAGTATCAGCTGTAAAATTCCCCTACAGGACGGTGATGGTGAAGGAACTCAGATGTGATGTTTCCATTCTCCCACACATCTTCACTGTAATCTGTCACAATACAAATGCTGTATTTAAAAGATCTGGGGGAAAAATAAAAACGTCAGCATCCAACACTGGGACCAGCGTGATGCAAAAGAGGGAGAAGTATCTGCAGGAAATGAGATGCAGGCGAGATTGAGAGCGACGAGAGGGGGAAGCCTCAGACTGAGGAACCCAGTGCCAGAATGGTGATGGAGAAGGTAAGTCCCTCAGGAATCACAGGGAATGGGAAGGAGTGTCCACTGAATTGATGTCTCAAAGAAGGTGGTCACCTCAGCTAAGATCTGAGTTAGATGCAGAGGAGGAAACCTCAGACTTGACCAAACTAAAAATGGTGGAATTTGGGAGCTGCCTCATGTTATAATCCCTCTTCTTCCAACTTTGTGTCCAATAGCTGGCAGAGTCGCTAGACACTGGTTAAATTCTAGTTCTCAGCCAGGTGTGGTGGCTCACACCTGTAATGCCAATACTTTGGAAGGCCAAGGTGGGAGGATCGCTTGAGCCCAGGATTTTGAGACCCACCTGGGCAACACAGTGGAACCCTGTCTCTACAGAAAGTTTAAAAATTCAGCCAGACATGGTAGCACATGCCTGTAAGTCCAAGCTCCTCAAGAGGCTGATATGGAAGGATCACTTGAGCCTGGAAGGTCGAGGCTGCAGTGAGCTATGGTCACACTACTGCACTCCAGCCTGGGTGACAGAGTGAGATCCTGTCTCAAACCAAGACAAAGAAAGAAAGAAACTAGTTCCTATTTGTTTCTCCTTAAGGTTTAGGTAAGACCGTGCTTGCCTCAACAGCACATATACTAAAACTGGAACGATACAGAGATGAGTGTGGCCCCTCATGAGGGTGACTCGCAAATTCATGAAGCGTTCCATCGTTTTATGGATCCAACCGCACCTGCGCCGGCTCCTGCAGGTGCAGAGAGTGCGAATGCACCCCCTGTAAGAAAAGCTGCTGCTCCTACTGCCCTGTGGGCTGTGCCAAGTGTGCCCGGGGCTGCATTTGCAAAGGGGCGTTGGACAAGTGCAATTGCTGCGTCTGATGCTGGGGCACCCCTGTTCCCAGGTGGAGATAATGCAACCTCTACAAACCTGGATTTTTTTTTTTTAATGTACAACCACGACCCGTTTGCTACATTCCTTTTTCTGTGAAACAATGTGAATGATAGTAAAACAGCTTTGACTTGAAAAAAAAAAAAAAAAGGATTTAGGAAAAACCTTACGCATACTAAAAACTTAATAACAGTTCAATCATTGACTCGGTAAGTTCAAATTAGAACTATAAAAATAATCTAGATAAGCACTAAAGGTTGGCAATAAACGTACAGCTAGATCATATGTAACAGTTTAAAATTAGACGCAGTAAAGCAGTGAAGACCACAGGGCTGCAGCATGAGATAGCTCCTACCACATGGGCTTCATTAATGAAATGATCAATAACTGCTTTTTGATAATGGCGGTGGTGATTATTGAACGTAGAACTAATTGTAATTGCTGGCTAACCCTTCAAAAACTAGCTTAAGTCTCTGAATAAGACACAGAAACATCTCCATGGTTAGGTGTAAATTCTCATGCCTATTATTTAGTAACTAAATATGTTTTGAAAAATAGGAACTTAAACTTTGTTTTTGAGAGAAAAAAATTCTATCCGATTTTATAATATCTAAAGGTAGTTTGTGCTTTTAAGAAACTAGTTCTCGGACGGGTGCAGCGGCTCACACCTGTGGGAGGCCAAGGCAGGCGAATCACTTGAGGTCAGGAGTTTGAGACCACCCTCGCCAACATGGTGAAACTCATCTCTACTAAAAATACAAAAATTAGCCGGGAATGGTGGCACATGCCTGTAATCCCAGCTACTTGGGAGGCTGGGGCAGGAGAATCGCTTGAGCCCGGGAGGTGGAGGTTGCAGTGAGCCAAGATCATGGTACTCTAGCATGGGCAACAGAGCAAGACTCTATGTCAAGAAAAAAAAAGAAAAGAAACTAGTTCTCAGTGCCACAATACTAAATAAACAGGAAAAGTCAAGTTTTCATTCAGAGTTAATATTTCCTCAAAAAACAGATTACTGATCAATTCCTTCCTTAAAATATGCCTGTAACCTTCCCTAAATGAATCTAAGAGATATTAAATATGAGCTATAAATTATACAAACATTTGTAGATTATTTTCCCGACAGAAAAAAATATCAGGCAGTTATCCTTATTTTTAATTACATTGATATTTGTGAATAAAATCTTATATTACATTTCTAGTATGCATTAATAGATTTAACCTCTAATTTTCTAAATACAGAATTTAGGCTTGTTTTGGAAAACTAAACTACTGAAAAATCCCACGTTCTCTTTCTCTGTTTGGTTTCCAATATATCTAGACATCACAAATATGTATAGTGTGCTCAAGTCACACAAACTAATTTTAATATTAGCTCAATCAAATACTTTAGGAGGCAAATTTGGTACAAAATATAATAGATAATTTCCCCAAAAGCCTCCTACAAGATTCTCTTGGAATTAAAACATACCACTAATCCCTTCTATTACTATAAGGTATGAAAAGAGGGAGCACTATTTGGAGATTATAGTGCAATAAGAACAATGCAGAATTTCTGAGCCCTGGTATTCTTTTTCCCAGCCCCAATGCTGTATTATTATGCTCATTGATGACACTCAACCTGAACTTGAAACAAACGTGGTTCACAGACATTATCATGCCTGAAACTTCACAAAAAAAAAAAAAAAATACCCACTTCTTTTTCTTTTTTAATCTCTGTGGATTTTCCTATTTGTTTTTGTTTTTGTTGAGATGCAGTTTCACTCTTGTTGCCCAGGCCGAAATGCAATGGCGCTATCTCAGCTCATGCAACTTCCACATCCCGGGTTCAGGCAATTCTCCTGCCTCAGCTTCCTGAGTAGCTGGGGTTACAGGCATGTGCCACTGTCCATGCCCAGCTAAGTTTTTTGTATTTTCAGTAGAGATGGGGTTTCACCATGTTGATCAGGCTGGTCTTGAACTCCTGATCTCAGGTGATCCACCAACCTCAGCCTCCCAAAGTGCTGGGATTACAGGCGTGAGCCACCGTGCCCCGCCCATGGTATATATTTCTCAAGTTAGTTTAGGTTAGTTTGCAACCACTTTTTAAAGAAGCAACAGTTCAACATACACCTCTTGCTAAAATACTGATACAAAGTGAAATCTGGGTTTGTAGGTGTTTTTAAAAAAGATCCAGGCAGTCTGTAACACATTTATTTTGCATACCTTATAACATCAAGCCCCTGAGCACAAAGTAAGTGCTCCATAGATACCTGCCAAACTGTACCTAGAAACAGAGACTCTTCCAAGCTCTGGATATAGGAGCGCAGGCAAATAGCTAATGGGTGGCATCCTGTCAAAGGCATAGAGCTCTCCCCCAAACACCCTTATGCTTTGCTTAATTTTAAACATGATACATTTATGTATTTGGAAGGCGCAGGTAATTATAACTCATGTAAGTGTGTTATATAAGTGATGTTTATGCTGTTATAATGAATATAAGAATAATAGACATTTAGAAATCAATAACTGGGAGACATAGTCCTGTCACACATTATCAAGTCTGTTTGTATTCAAAGTAGAAACAATTCAGGACTTATATTATTAACGAACCACCTCAAGATGAAGGCAAAGGACTGAGAAAAGACTGTGTTCCCAGTACCTCCCAGGCATGACACACAGCCAATGACCTAACTAGGGCCTAAAAAGGCCGAAAGTAACCATACACCCTGCTCTCCAAACTATACAGCTAAAAACATTTGCCACTAGAGGGCAGTCAAGATCTAACTATGTATTTAAAAACTCATAAGCAGCTATAAGGAAAAGCTAAAATTATACACATATCTAGAATTTTTAGGTCTAATGATAATACTTTTTAAAATTATTGGTATTAATCAGCTATCCTTTCAACTTCCTGGTATTATTTTGGATAAAACAATTCAAATGTTGATTAAACCTTGTAGTAAATAAGAATAAATTCCATTTTTAAATGCTTTAAAATATTATTGAGAACAATACTCCAAAGATACTACAACTCAAATACTAAGTTCACATTTTATCTGGACTATGTAAGCATTCTCCTAAGAGAAAATAAATTATAATTCTGATTAATTACATAAGACCCGATTCTATTTCATTAAACCTTTTATGTCCTCGACTTTTTTAAAAAGTCAGCAACAGTGTATAGACTGCTATAAACTAATGTTTTAAATCTCATCTTAGTGATAATCAGACTGATTTTGCTTTATGCTATAACATCTCTCAACATCTATCTTTTAATTTTTCATTCCCACCATCCTTGTTCAACAAAACAATTTTCTAAAGCCTCCCAACCAGTCTATCTCCAAGCACTCCCCCCTCCAATCTGTCCCTTCCCACTGTTGCCATAGTTATATTGCTATTGTAAACTGTGATCACACGTCAAGCTCTTGCTTTAAAACTTCCTGGGGCTGGTTGGTATGCCTTATATAAATGTATCCTCATTTCTTAGCTGAGTTTGCAAGATATTCCATATTTTGTCCTAATCCTTCTACCTTCACCTATGACTGTTCTCTCTCCCCAGCTGTATCCTATATTTCGTCCTAAGTGGACCATCTACCCTTCCTCAACACTTTCTATACCTAATCACATCAGGTGTACTTTCTTTCTAGTAGCGATGGCCTTTCTGACACTAATCTCTGCTTGCTGAAATTTTGATCCCCCCAACATCTAACTCTGAAGACGTTTTCTCCCTTTCCTGATTCCTCCCATTGGAAAATTAATCTTTCTTCTTATGTATTTTCCATACAGATCACCTGCATCCCTACTATGAAGCATGCTATTGGATTCTGGCATACAACAATAAACATAATCTCAGTTTCTGCTGTAGAATATACAACTCTATTCTCATCGCTCATTGTTCACATAACTTAAGTACAATCAAACCTTGTCAAACAGTTGCCAGTGGCTCTATCTCTAAATTCTTAAAATTCAGAGATGTGCCATTTGTGTGATCACCATTTCTTCCTCTTGGTTTTCTTGTTTTCTTATACAAATACATTCACTCTTCAACTCATTAAATTCCTTCTTTCTTCCCTTCCTTACCTATGTAACTTTCCATACTTTCTTGCCCTTATTACCTTTTCTCCTACTTGCTCTGTTAACCCCAATGACTGTCCAATTTCACTACCTTCACTCTCAACCTCTCTACCTGCTCTGCTGAGTTTGCCAGAAAACACATGCACATAACAGATTGGCACCACTAACTCACAATCTCTAACCTCAACTGGACTACCAATGTTTCTCCACAATGCTTTTATCTGTTTGCAGTCTCTTCTCTGTTCCATCCCACAAAACAGCTATTTTTAATCTTTATTGCTAAGTGACATCAGCAGAAATGGTGGAGAAAGAACTTCCAAAAATCCTTTTCTCCATAAAATTAATGAGAACACTGGCAAAAATTATGCAAATCAGATTTCTCATAGCTCTGGAAATTAACTACAGGCTGGCAAAAATCCAGGGAGTGTTTATTTGATAAAAAATGTTCAAATGTTGGTAAGAACAGCAAACTAGTGATGTTTTAGTTAGCCACATCGCCCTCTCTCTCATTCCATGGCATGCTGAAAATCACCACCCCTGAAGTGGGTGGAACAGAGTTGGAATTCCTCCAAAGCCCAGTTCCAGATAACTGTCATTATGTTATCTTTTCTGGAAAATTCCACTTGTAAAACTTGTCTTTATTCCACTTAACTTAGAGCTTGCCCAATGCAAATAGTCATTTCTCCAAGGACATTCATTGAAAATCATCTGGGGCAATTTGTTCGCCTTGCAGCTTTGTGAGGTAGCAATAATGGTAGAGGCAAACAACAACTGAC